TCCAATCCATACTTTTTTAACTTGCTGGCAAGAATACTGTGGGAGACCTTATCAGAAGCTTTGCTAAAGTCAAGATATATCACATCCACATGATCTAGAGGTTATTCTTACTGATCCTTGCTCATTTGTTCCAGGAGAATCTGATGGGTGAATGACAGGGAGGGTTACTTTCTAGTTAAAGTTTTAAAAGGGCTACTGCTCAATTCAAAATATGTTCCTTCTATAATGCACATTGACTACTAAGTCTCAGGTATTTGTTGTTCACGTTGCAACTAAATAGAGTATAGCTGCTTACAGTGGAAGCTGATTGCCATGACCTCCTTCCCTACAACATTTGCACAGGTTTAGGAACACATGTGATAAGAATGGTGGTGGGCAGACATGATATGCAGGTGGAGCTTACTATTGTGCACAGGAACCAGGCCTCTTTCGAGAAAACAAGTTCCCCAATAAACATGGTTTCAGGGTTGGAGGTTGCAGTTTCAGGTTGCAACATATCTTCATCTAGGGCACATGGTGGATGCCATCCAACTTTATCATAAAACACAGTTTATACTGGTACCTGGTAATTTTTCAGTTTGAATTGCTATATTTCATTAACAGTTGTGTCCTTGGCCTTTAGTAACTACCAGTATGTTGTGCTTTATCAGCAAGAAAGAGACGTGGTCTGTGTGCAAGAGCGGTGCCCAGGAACTACTAATTTCAAATCTGACATTGATTCCCCTCTAACTTTAGAAAAATACTTAACACCTCTGTCTCGTTTTCGCCATCTGAAATCTGCATCAAATAGTTGTTGTGAGGATTAAACAATAGATATTTTAAAGCACTTTGAAAAATGAAAAAGTTATATGGTAACTGGTTATGCAGGGTCTGTATCCCAACATCATAGAATCATCGAATATTAGGGTTGCAAGAGACCTCAGGAGGTCATCTAGTCCAATCCCCTGCTCAAAGCAGGACCAACACCAACTAAATCATCCCAGCCAAGTTTTTGTCAAGCTGGGACTTAAAAACCTTTAAGGATTTTTATTCTTTGAGGTTACAGGTCAAAAATTAATGACATGAATTTCATAAAACTTTTTTTCACCCTTTTTGTTTCAATTTTAGCTGGCTAAAACTTGGCATTCATCATGGTGTTATTAGGTTAAACTGAGGGTGTTTTAAACATAGAAGAGTACTCTGATAGGGGAAGAAAATGCTTAAGGGAAATGAATTTTGAGCCAAATCTGAAAACTTAACTGTTTCCTCATGTTTGGCAGCTCAAGACTGCAGAAGGTCCAAAAAGCATGAGCTGAAATTGCCAGGAGGCAGAACTGGTAGACAAATGTCTTTCCTATGATTGATAGGTCTGGTTCTGTCTCTGGGAGCTGCAGATCAGAGGAAAACCCAATGCTGATATCATAAACCAATGTATGATGTAATTTGATTGTGATTTCAGATATTTTCTGACCTGTTCTAACTGAAAAAAATGGCTTAATTTTAAACACTGAAATTGTGTAGGCATGTTGACAGTTTGGCACAGGGTAATTTGGGGCATCCATCATATACAGCACTATACTATTAATGTGGTAATTTTAGGGACTTTTCATATTTGCAAGTTACCCTTTAACATTTAGAATTGTGTAGAAATTGGAAATAGTTATTCATGTAATGAAAATGTTCCCTAAATGCAATGTCAAAAGTCAAATATAATGTCAGTGTCATGGCACAATAGGTTCAAGTTATTCTCCTCTAGAGAAGAGAGATAATGTTGAGCTCATAAGCCGGCATAACAAATATGTCTTGCATAAATGTAGCTCCTGCATGAGAGATTGAAAAGCTATTCTTCACTAACTCAGCAAAACATAGTATACCATATAATTCCCAAAGTAAAATCAGTGGTGGGATGAAGCCTGATAAGTGATGAGTGGCTGAACCAAGCATCTGTGCCTTCCTCCATCCAACAATGGAGCTTGTAATAAGGTTTGGGACAGAGAATTTTTAATAAACCAGATAAATCTCAATAGGAGCTTTTCAGATATTTAATTAACTTTCACAAAAATATTTTTTTTAATTAAATTATGTTGGTCATTCCTAGGCTAGAATGCAGTCTAATTGGTGGTGTTCTGTCTCATTTAACTCTTTAGTTTAGGTTTGATGGATGACTTGGCAAAGTGACTATTACACTTAAGGCCATATTTTTTTCTTGATTCACACAAAGAATTGCCATTGGTATCAATGGGATTGTCTACGTGGACTGAGGGCAGAATAAGATCCACAGAATGATAGCTAGTAGGGACATGAAAGAAATCTTTTGCTACCCAACCTGACTTCCCCACCAAACACAACTTCCTACATCATTCCCACTAGTGGCTTATCTAACCTACTTTTGAATGTCTGTAGCAATGGTGTATCCCAACTTCTCTGGCAACCTGTTAGTGACACTTATTTTTCCTCAATGGTATGGTCTGAGGGGAAAATAAATATACAAATAAAATGGTATGTATAGCTACATCCTGTTCACTTTACTCATACAAGTAATCCCATTGGCATCAACTGGATTACTCATGTGTACAAGGTAGGTTAGATTTGGCTTTAAAAGCCCTAACTGAGACCCTCAAAAGCTAGAAAATGAGATAGGTATGAACCAAGCTCTTTTTTCCTCCATCTGCAACAATACTAGGTAGAAAGTGGAATTTTGCTTGTCACAAATAAGCTCTTGCTTGCTCATTCTGACAGGAAAAAGACATTATCCAACAATGAAGCAGCAGTAGGAGGCAAGAAGGAAAGGAGCAGTTGTAAAAAAGCTATATCACTTGTAATTCTGAAATTCACAGTGTCTTGCAAGTTGATGTCTTACAGGGAAAAAATCTTCCTTCATTTGGCCTCCCACTGTTTTGCTGACCTTTCCCCATTGGAGTGGTAGCAGGAGGCAAAAATAAAAGTGGTTTTATTCCTTGTGAGGCACTTAGCTGCTAAACACTGTGAATCTGAAAATTACAGTAGTTGTGCAGTATTTCTTCAAAACTCCTCTGCTGGTAATTGTTCCTGAGCACAAAATTAAGACTAGAAAAACAGAAGAGCATTAAACACCAAAGACCAAATTCTGATCTCAGATATAGTGGTGTAAATCCAGCATAATTCCAGTAGGATCATCAGAGTTATTCCAGATTATCAGACATCAGAATCTGATCACAGGTCCTCAGCATTTATCTTTCCTCTTCCAAGCTAAAAGAACCATGTATTTCCCTTTGTGTTTCACTTATTTGCATCAGTATGTTTTATTCAGCATTACTTGAAGATTTTGTTGTGTTTCCATATCAATGAGTTCACAAAAAAAACCTTCAAGGTTAAATAAACAATATATATATATATAAAAATATGAAGCAATTCAAAAATGAAGAAATTGATTTTTTTATTTTAATTTTGCCTATTGATTTTGCTCACAGCAAAAAATCAATACAGTAGAAGTTTACAGACTTTGAAGTTTGATAATATATTCTTAATACAATAAAGAGGTCAAAACCTCTCCCAAATCATAAATTCTACCACTTGAAATTGACTACAGGTGGAGAAAGAGGCAGACCACCAGTTCCTAAAAGATAAACACGAAGGGTGATATAACTTGGAGCTAAATGCATAGCAATCAAAAGGGAAAATGTGATCTTTAGCTTTGTAATTCAATATTAGAAAAGGCATATTGTGAAAGCAAGAGATAGAATATATGTACCATTTATTATTGAATACAACATAGTTTCCGCATACAACTGCACCAAATTTAGACCAGACATTCGAAAAAGTCAAAGTTACACCTTAGAGTTAAGCAAACATTTTGAAACATTCATTAATACTTAAATATCCCTGTTTTTTTGTTATTTATGATGAAGATGGGTTATATGAATGAAATATTATTTAGGAACAGAGTATTCAGCCTCTTCATCCTCTAAAAGACATAAACCAATGCACTAACTTGGTGGTCCCAATATTTTTTTTAATCTCTTGGGTACAAAAAATATAGCCTTTTTATATTTGATATATTTATCTTAATAGGGACTAGAAATGCAAAGGGGATCTCCCTATCATGCAGTTTTTATTTAATCAAAATGAAAAGCCTTTCTTTGTACACTTATTCAAATCAAGGAGAGGTCTTTCATATTCAATACTTAAGAGTTTCTTATCCATTTGGATTAGACTATGTTTATCCATTAAAGTACAAAATTTCTATATGCAGGTTGATGGCTGATTTCTAAGTTCTGTGATAGGACCATTTAACACATTTTGGTTTCTTCTGCATATCTACTTTAAATGCCTAATGAAGTCATTTTTCAGCAAAATCCAAAGAGTCTGAGTCTTCTCAACTCCTCAAGTAGCTCAAGGTTTCTAAATGATGAGACTGTGTCTGGTTTTCCAAGAATTCAATTCTGAGGTATACTTTCCATGTTCTTTGTTCATCTAGCACATGCTCAATTTTTTTTCTCTACATATAACTGATTGCTTACGTCAAGCATTGAAAATTCAATCCCATCCGGACTCCTCTCCCAGTTATTAACTGAAGCAATAATCTGATCAAATTCAGTTTCAAAATTTCTGTCCTCTCAAACACAGATTGAAGGGGAAAAGGTCATGTCCTCCATTTCATACTCCTAAGTAAGAAGGTATTTGATCCTGTTCCTCGATGGATGATGATTTCAGCTTACAAAACCTTTCTCACATCCCTTCTTTTTTTCTGTTTTGGAATCTTGAATCAGCTCAGTGCCTTCCCAGATACATCCAAGAGGTAATTTGAATCTCTTGTTTGCACAATGTTTGTTTATCTGTTTTGAATAATTCTAAAGTTCTCAGGTTTTCATTTTTATTTTTAAAAAAGAACTTTGTTTTGCACATCTTCTCAGTTCTGCAGTCACCCTGCCCCCTGGGAATCGATTTCTTAATATGACAGTAAGCAGGTTTTACATTTTTATGATCCAACATACATTACAGTTGGAGCTTTATTTATAAATGTTTCACTTACGAGCACATACATTCATTTTACACGATTCCTCAATGTGGCCAGGGGGCTGCGTAGTCTGCATTGTATCCACCTACAAAAAATACAAAAATATATGTCTGCTTACCGGGATGTGAGCAGGGCTTAGCTAACCTAACCCTATAGCATGGATTTTACACGTGAGCAGAGAGAATCCTCTTCTCTCCATTAGGTCCAAGCATATTTCATAAGATAACTATATCACAATGAAAACAGTTATAACAATTTGCATTCTATTTACCAATACATTGGCAATTTAAATCCAGTGCACAAAGTCCAGTATTAGGTTGGTTTTATGGCGTATGACAGGAGAAATATACTAAAATCTGTTTCCTTCATATCCTTTGTTGTTGTTGTTATTGAACATGCTTCGTCATGGAACAAGAAACAATATGAATCTTCCAAGTATCAGTGACAAACACAGCTTTCTCTCCCCAAATGATGGACTTAATAATACCAGTTGTTTTAGATTAGGAAAATCTAGAATGGGACTCTTACAGAAAAAAAAAAGCAGCGGTACGAGACAAAGTCTGAAAAGCAGCAATATCCTGGGATGCTGTTTGTACAATGCTGTGAACATGTAAAGCACTGTGAAAGTGCTGGCTATTAAGTATCACTATTATACTACAGGATGGACATAAAGAAAATGAAGCATTAATGGTTTTCTTGAAGTGCTGTGATCAATATGTTGATGAGATAAATGATGCAGTAAAAAGACATTCATGCCTAATGCTAAAAGAAAGCAGCTTTCCAATGCATTGTTCAAGAACAGCTCTTAAAATGTTATTCAAGAACAATGCATCTTCATGAAAATACTAACCCTGCAATGCTGTCATGTACAAGATGGTTACACAAAAAGGGCAGTTAGGTTTTATAAGGTAATTTTCTGAATGTTTGTTTATTTTATTAATTACCATTATTTCCTCATTTGCACCCATCACTGCTTGTTCCTTATTCTCCGTCATGTTGATGGATTGTGGAACTCTTCCGGATCCATCACATAATGCAAGATTAGTCCCAATTTACACAAGTACAAGACAACAATATCAAGTATGTCTAAGAAGCAACATTTGCTTTATGAGTATAATCCATAAAAAGCTGCTAAATGTCCTCAAATAAGTAACGTCTGTTCCCCAATCTAAATGTGATCTTCTCACAGGAAACCATCTGGGACAAGCATGCAAAACATTCTGCCTTGGTTTCAGCAGCAATATATTTACAATGTCTCAGTAAGACTCTTCACTGCCATTAGTCCAATTATCAAGCATGTTTCTTTGTGCTTTTTCCCCCATGTCAGAGGTGTCATCCATGGGCAAAAATACAGGACTTTCCAAAACAGTGGAATCGAGATATATCAAAAGGGCATGGTTTTCCCCAGAGGTTGGAAGCTTCATCCTTACCCATCAGTTATTTATGTATTCACATGGAATAAATGTAGTTGTGCTACATTTATTGAGCACAAGATATTTCATGTATCTGCTGGAATGAGCAAAGCATTTCAGCCTCCTCCAAAGTGTAGTCAGAAGGAATCTCTCTGCCTACTTGTGAGTTTAAGAACCTTTCAGTTAACTCCAAGATACAAACACAAAATTGAGTATCATGTGCATTTGTAAGATTCTCTGGAGATCCATAAAAATGAACTGATTACACTCTTGCACATGCAGAGTGTTTTTTATCTGTGACAGATGTGTTTTATGTTAATGATATTCTTCAAATTAAAAAAAAAGTCATCAAAATATAATTCAGTGCAAGATAAAAATAAAAGCAGGGCTTATTTTTTTTACCATAAATCCACTAGCCAAACCCATGAAACAAATAATGAGAGTAAAGATGGGTCCTCATCGGACCTTCAAAAGGTATCAGGCACAAAGCCATAGTGGAGAGTTCAACCCCTCTCCTCCAGCCCCTCTAATGACTACTAGGAAAGGTTAGGAAACTCCATTCTCTCTCTCTTTTCTCCTCCTTCACGGAAGTGGGGGAAGCTGTGCGCTTCCTCTCTCTCTGCTCACAGTGGCATAGGGAGTCTCCCTCTCTTATGTTTTCTGGGAAGTGAACGCTATTGTGTCCCCATCTTCCACATTTCTCAGTATGGGTGGGCACCATCCCCACGAACATGATACAGTTCTGCGGTGATCTGGAAGCCTACTTTCGTCGTCTCTGACTCAAGGAATATTTTCAACACACCACTGAACAGTGCACTGACCCACAGGAACCCTCCTACCAACACTACAAGAAGAAGAACTCTTCGTGGACTCCTCCTGACGGTCGAAATGACAGACTGGACTGCTACATAGAGTGCTTCCGCAGACGTGCACAGGCTGAAATTGTGGACAAACAACATCACTTGTCCCATAACCTCAGCTGTACAGAACGCAATGCCATCCACAGCCTCAGAAACAACTCTGACATTATCATCAAAGGGGCTGACAAAGGAGGTGCTGTAGTCATAATGAACAGGTTGGATTATTAACAGGAGGCTGCCAGGCAACTCTCCAAGACCACATTCTACAGGCCACTATCCTCTGATCCCACTGAGGAATACCAAAAGAAACTACACCATCTGCTCAAGAAATTCCCAGCTACAGTACGGGAACAAATCTACATGTTCCCAAATCTACCCCCAGAACCCCGACCAGGGGTATTCTATCTGCTACCCAAGATCCATAAACCCGGAAACCCTGGACGCCCCATCATCTCAGGCATTGGCACTCTTACAGCAGGATTATCTGGCTATTTGGACTCTCTCCTCAGACACTACGCTACCAGCACTCCCAGCTATCTTCGAGACACCACCGACTTCCTGAGGAAACTACAATGCATTGGTGTTCTTCCTGAAAACACCATCCTGGCCACCATGGATGTAGAAGCACTTTACACCAATATTCCACATGAGGATGGACTACAAGCTGTCAGGAACAGTATCCCTGATGAGGCCACAGCACGCCTGGTGGCTGAGCTTTGTGACTTTGTCCTCACCCACAACCACTTCAGATTTGGTGACAACTTATACCTTCAAGCCAGTGGCACTGCTATGGGTACCCGCATGGCCCCACAGTATGCCAACATTTTTATGGCTGACTTAGAACAACGCTTCCTCAGCTCTCGTCCCCTAGTGCCCCTCCTCTACTTGCACTACATTGATGACATCTTCATCATATGGACCCACGGAAAGGAGGCCCTTGAAGAAGGCCACCTGGACTTCAACAATTTCCACCCCACCATCAACCTCAGCCTGGACCAGTCCACACAAGAGATCCACTTCCTGGACACTATAGTGCAAATAAATGATGGTCACATAACCACCACCTTATACCACAAACCTACTGACCACTATACGTACCTACATGCCTCCAGCTTCCATCCAAGACACATCACACGATCCATTGTCTACAGCCAAGCCCTAAGATACAATCGAATTTGCTCCAACACCTCAGACAGAGACAAACACCTACAAGTTCTTTATCAAGCAATACCCACCTGGGGAAGTGAGGAAACAGATTGACAGAGCAAGATGGGTACCCAGAAATCACCTACTACAGGACAGGCCTAACAAGGACAATAACAGAACACCACTGGCCATCACATACAGCCCCCAGCTAAAACCTCTCCAGCGCATTATCCACGATCTACAACCCATCCTGGAAAATGATCCCTCACTCTCACAGACCTTGGGAGGCAGGCCAGTCCTCGCTTACAGACAACCCCCCAACCTGAAGCAAATACTCACCAGCAACTACACACCACACCACAGAAACACCAACCCAGGAACCAATCCCTGTAGCAAACCTCGTTGCCTACTATGTCCCCATATGTACTCGGGCGACACCATCAGAGGACCCAACCACATCAGCCACACCATCAAGGGCTCATTCACCTGCACATCCACTAATGTTATATATGCCATCGTGTGCCAGCAATACCCCTCTACCATGTACATTTGGCCAAACCGGACAGTCCCTCCACAAAAGAATAAATGGACACAAATTGGACATCAGGAATGGTAACATACATAAGCCAGTAAGTGAACACTTCAATCTCCCTGGTCATTCTATTACAGATTTAAAAAGTCACTATCATTGAACAAAA